TCTAAGGCTCTTTTTTGGAGTTCCGGCATCTGGCTCTCAAGGTAACCGACGTTTTCTCTAAGGCTCTTTCTTGGAGTTCCGACATCTTGTGCTCAAGGTAACCGACGTTTTCTCTAAGGCTCTTTTTTGGAGTTCCGGCATCTGGCTCTCAAGGTAACCGACGGTTTCTCTAAGGCTCTTTCTTGGAGTTCCGACATCTAGTTCTCCGGTAACCGACACTTTCACTTAGGCTCGTTGTTGGAGTTCCGACCTCTGGTTCTCAAGGTAACAGACGCCTTCTCTAAGTCGGTTTGTTGAAGTTCCGACATCTGGTTGTCGAGGTAACCGACGCGTTCTCTAAGGCTCTTTATTGGACCTCCGACATGTAGTTCTCAGGTAACCGACACTTCCTCTAAGGCTCTTTATTGGACCTCCGACATCTAGTTCTCCGGTAACCGACACTTTCACTTAGGCTCGTTGTTGGAGTTGCAACATCTGGTTCTCAAGTAACCGACGCTTTCACTAAGGCTCTTTATTGGAGTGCCGACATCTGGTTCTGGAGGTAACCGACGCTGTCTCTAAGGCTCTTTATTGGACCTCCGACATCTAGTTCTCCGGTAACCGACACTTTCACTTAGGCTCGTTGTTGGAGTTGCAACATCTGGTTCTCAAGTAACCGACGCTTTCACTAAGGCTCTTTGTTTGAGTTCTGACATCTGGTTCTCCTTTGCTCTTTATTAGAGTTCCAACCTCTGGTTCTCAAGGTTCCCGACGCTTTCTTTAAGCCTCATTGTTGGGGTTCCGGCATCTGGTACACTTTCTCTAAGACTCTTTGTTGGAGTTTGAGGTCCGACATCTGGTTCGCAAGGTTACCGACACTTTCTTTAAGCCTCTTTGTTGGAGTTACGTGATCTGGATCTCAAGTTAGCCGCCGCTATCTCTAAGACTCTTTGTTGGAGTTACGTGATCTGGATCTCAAGTTAGCCGCCGCTATCTCTAAGACTCTTTGTTGGAGTTGCAACATCTGGTTCTCAAGGCAACCGACGCCTTCTCCAAGGCCCTTTGTTGAAGTCCCGACATCTGGTTCTTGAGGAAACTAACGCTTTCTCTAAGGTTCTTTGTTGGAGTTCCAACATCTGGGTCTCAAGGTAAACGACGTTTTCTCTAAGGCTCTTTGCTGGAGTTCCGACATCTTGTGCTCAAGGTAACCGACGTTTTCTCTAAGGCTCTTTCTTGGAGTTCCGACATCTAGTTATCGAGGTAACCGCCGCTTTCTCTAAGGCTCGTTGTTGGAGTTGCAACAGCTGGTTCTCGAGGTAATTGACGCTTTCTCTAAGTCTCTTTGTTGGAGTTTGAGGTCCGACATCTGGTTCGTGAGGTAACCAACGTTTTCTCTAAGACTCTTTGTTGGAGTTACGTGATCTGGATCTCAAGTTAGCCGCCGCTATCTCTAAGACTCTTTGTTGGAGTTCTGACATCTTGTACTGCACATTCCCTCTTGCTTTATTGGAGTTCCGAGATCTGGTTCTCGAGGTAACTGACGCTTTCTCTAGGCTCCTTGTTGGACCTCCGACATGTAGTTCTCAGGTAACCGACACTTCCTCTAAGGCTCTTTGCTGGAGTTCCGACATCTGGTTGTCGAGGTAACCGACGCGTTCTCTAAGGCTCTTTCTTGGAGTTCCGACATCTAGTTCTCCGGTAACCGACACTTTCACTTAGGCTCGTTGTTGGAGTTCCGACCTCTGGTTCTCAAGGTTCCCGACGCTTTCTTTAAGCCTCATTGTTGGAGTACCGGCATCTGGTTCTTGAGGAAACTAACGCTTTCTCTAAGGTTCTTTGTTGGAGTTCTGACATCTTGTACTGCACATTCCCTCTTGCTTTATTGGAGTTCCAACATCTGGTTCTCGATGTAACCGACGCTTTCACTAAGGCTCTTTATTGGACCTCCGACATGTAGTTCTCAGGTAACCGACACTTTCACTTAGGCTCGTTGTTGGAGTTGCAACATCTGGTTCTCGACTTAGCCGACGCTTTATCTAAGGCTCTTTATTGGAGTTCCGACATCTGGTTCTTTTTGTTGGAGTTCCGACATCTGGTTCTCAAGGTTACCGACACTTTCTTTAAGCCTCATTGTTGGAGTTCCGGCATCTGGTTCTCAAGGTAACCGACGCCTTCTCTAAGGCCCTTTGTTGAAGTTCCGACATCTGGTTCTCGAGGTAACCGACGCTTTCTCTAAGGCTCTTTGTTGGAGTTCCGACATCTGGTTATCGAGGTAACCGACGCTTCCTCTAAGGCTCTCGTTTTCTTCTTCTAAAGCTGTAATTCTGCCCAACATCTTCTTTAAGCTCATCTTTGAGAATTGTCTGTTTCTTATCCATGGCCGTCCTAGTGACCAAACTGGATAGTATTTTGGTAATTTCCTCAAGTCGTTGACTTATAGCTTGATCACTGTTTTTTCCCGATGATGTTGAAGCTCTAGTTGGTCCATCCATCATAAACGATCTCAATTTTTTCTTAGGTCTCGGAGAAATATCCAATGTATACGTACACTTATACACAAGTATGCACAGGTAAATCACAGGTAAGTATACAAGTGTGTCCGTTAGCAGTTGTCAACCCGGTTAGCACTATTCCATTGAGTATCTTTCAAAGTCCAAAACACTCCTGGGACCTAGAACATCATATTTTTTTCATTCTGTAGGTGAATTTAACTATCACACTTCTCCTTTTACTGGTATTAAATCTACCGAGTCTGTGTCCAATGTCTATGTCCTAACTGTCAAGTGGCACTTTCAACATGGATTTGACGAACTTCAAAACTTTTTCCACACATTCTTCAGCTGTCTAGTTATCCTTGGTGTCTTCAAGTCCAAAAACCCTAATAGAATTTTTCCTGCCCTGTTGTTCAAGGTCATTGTACTGCACATTCCCTCTTGCTTTGTTGGAGTTCCGACATCTGGTTCTTGACGTAACCGACGCTTTCTCTCAGGCTCTTGATTGGAGTTCCACCATCTGGTTCTCGAGGTAACCGACGCTTCCTCTAAGGCTCTTTGTTGGAGTTCTGACATCTGGTTCTCGAGGTAACCGACACTTCCTCTAAGGCTCTTTGTTGGAGTTGCAACATCTGGTTCACGAGGTAACCGACGCTTTCTCTAAGGCTCTTTGTTGGAGTTGCAACATCTGGTTCTCGAGGTAACCGACGCTTCCTCTAAGGCTCTCGTTTTCTTCTACTAAAGCTGTAATTCTGCCCAGCATCTTCTTTTAGCTCATCTTTGAGAATTGTCAGTTTCTTATCCATGTCCGTCCTAGTGACTATACTGGATAGTATTTTGGTAATTTCGTCAAGTCGTTGACTTATAGCTTGATCACTGTTTTTTCCTGATGATGTCAAAGCTCTTGTTGGTCCATTCATCATAAACGATCTCAATTTTTTCTTAGGTCCCGGAGAAATATCCAATGTATACGTACACCTATACACAAGTATGCACAGGTAAATCACAGGTAAGTATACAAGTAGGTCCGTTAGCAGTTGTCAACCCGGTTAGCACTATTCCATCGAGTATCTTTCAAAGTCCAAAACTCACTTTTCACCAAATTTCATCTATTTTCAGGAAGATGTATGGCTTTCCAATGATGTTAGCCGAACATTGTCCAGATTTTTTCGTTTTCAACAAGGTTACCAAACAAGAGGCCCAGGGGCCTTAATATCCCACCTGGTATTTTATTTTCAATTTAAAACCTGCTGAGTACCATACAAGTTTATCAAAGGAGTACAAGAAACAAAGTTGCAAGAAGAACTACATGTGTATGTAAATCTGTTTTGGTGGGTTAAGACACCAAGAAAATGAGTTTCCATGTTAAAAACAAGAGTACCGCGGGGCAGAACAATATACGCCCGTCGAATGCCATATATATATAGTGCTATATACTTTCTTACATTGAAATAAGATCTGCATCATTTTAAGAGTGGTAAGCTGACATGCTATACAAAATGTAGGAGAAAATTTCCGGACAAAAAATCAAATACTGAAATGAACAAAGGGCAATAACGTTTGCAAAAACTGTCGAATCAAAATTCTTTTAAGGGAGACACAACTTCATATCATGATTATTATGTATATACATACCAAGTTTCAAAGAGATTGGTCACAAAATATAGGAAAAGCTTGCCGGACAAACAAAAGTTTACGCCGGACGGACAACACCATACCATAATACTCCCGTCAAATTTGACAGGCATATAAAAAGGAGGAAGATATTCAATTTTCCTCCATTTCCCCTATTGGGCCTCACATGCACCTTTTTATACAAATTAAACAAATTGAGTTTTTTTCCCCTAAGCATGCTTGACCACATTTGGTTTAAATCCCTTCATTTGTACAGAAACTTTGCCCCAAATTTGAGCAGAGGATTAGGCACAAGTTATACCAACTTATCAACGCCTTTTCCTCTAATACAGTACATATTGATATTTACATGATAGCATTTAACAAGGCATACAAACGATATGTTACAGAGATAAATGCAGCGGACATCAGTTCCAATATTTTCCGATTATTTTTCATCCTTCCGGAAATAACCGATGAAGGCCGATGGAGTGTGATGTGTTTGTGATGTCACAGTATGATAATCTCGGAACAAAGTGTCATGCCTGCTAGTATCATAATGTATGCGATAGATTTTTTTTTAACTTTGAATGTATATATATTAGTTTTATCTAAATAAACAAGTAATAAAATATGAGGATATTGTTTTCACTATATGAATATGTTCATGTATGGGTTGAAACACAATTGTCTTTGCTTCAAGGAAACACTTCCTGTTTCCCCACTGGACCTCTACTTCCGAACGATTTTTTTTAAAGGAAACATGGAGCAAGGGGAATCAACTCTGTTTAGGCACGCATGTGTTACCATTAAAGAACTTTGCTAGGGCACCAAAAAAAGGCACCCGAGAGCTACTTTCTTATAATCCTACCTGTATACAAATACTTTTCTGGCCGCAGATGACAGTTATCCTACCTGAAATGCACGTGTACCCATAGTAACCGGTCACACACCCGTAAGTACAATATCCCGTCACTGAGCCACATTCTACTCCTGCGCAATTAATTGGACAAATATTCTCACAAGTTGGTCCAAATCTTCCCGGTGCACACCCTGCAATTACATGTTTAAAAGTAATGTTATAGAAACCGATAAATATCAGTTTTTATTCCCACAAACAAAAGTCAGATAAATGTTAATAAATATGACACATATTTTAAAGAATTTCCTAGTGGAGGCGAGGAGGGCCAATAAGCTGGGCAATTAATAATTAATAAGAGTACCGCGGGGCAGAACAATATACGCCCGTCGAATGCCATATATATATAGTGCTATATACTTTCTTACATTGAAATAAGATCTGCATCATTTTAAGAGTGGTAAGCTGACATGCTATACAAAATGTAGGAGAACATTTCTGGACAAAAAATCAAATACTGAAATGAACAAAGGGCAATAACGTTTATATAAATATAAAACAAATCTTCATACTCAGCAATTTAGGGTGAGGATCTCGTTTCAACTGTTTACATGTTCGGACCCAGGGACTTAATCTGTAAGGGTGGGGGCAGATCCCAGGCCAGTTTTGAAATTATTTATATATACATAAAACATGCATCATTCCATAACCTGATGGGGGTGGGGGGTAGGCAGGAACTCAACAGTTTGAAACATATGATATCCCTGTACTTAAGTATAATGATTATGCAATTTACGCAGCAATTGGGCAATGAATGTGGACTATAGAATCTGGCACATCCATAATCTCCATGCTTTAGATACCATCAATTCATATAATGACATGTTTATTTGTTTCATACAGCTTCTGAAAATGCTGATTTGTAATTCCATAAGTCAAGGCTTAATTTTACCACATTTATACATACCCTCTGACCCTAATTACTCTTGTTGAAGCAACTGTTATTATTTCCATAACATAACTTGTCCCGACAGAGTTTGATACAATTATGTTTAAATAAATATCAATAGCTTCAATGCAACTCAGCTATTTTTATATTATGACCACATGTTCACAAAAGCCAGATGGACCAAGAGGCCAATCCTGGCAGAATACCTGTATCTGTCTAATTCTTATGCCCATGAATTGCATCATTATAGCCTAATTATAGGACAGGTATCTCAACAATTTCAAAGTTCTATTTTTGTTCTTGCCCCTTCATTTTCATATTATAATACCTACCAGTCCCTTTGGGCTAGGTGAGCTAACAAATTATAATGCCAATCAAAAACTTTCTAAATGGTAGAACAAGCAGTCTCCAACTAAAATACTAAAATGCAAGTAATACTACTTAAATGGTTAAAAAACAAATGACAGTGTCATATATCCAACATTTAGGAAAGTAGAGCAGATTGGGGTTAATCAACAACCGTCATTCAGTTTTGGTATTTAAATGTTATTTTTAAGGGGAGAAAATCAACGAAACATGAGAATAATGTTCAAGATGTCGTTTGACTTTCCTTTAGTTTAGCTTTAGTTTCTCATTATTTCAATCATCCTAAGTTTAACTTGTTGACTAATGTGTAGAATTGCTGTTATATATTACCCTGTAAACAAACTTTTAAATCTACATTAAGGGTGCCAGTAATGTTAACACAAAGGATTTCAAATGTAACCCTTAAATATATTTTTTGTTTATTTTGTATAAAAGGGTTTTCACAGCAATCCTAGAGAAACCAAAATTGCAAAGGTTATAATCATAGCCCTTTATAATAGTGTATTGCCATTCCACCCCATAATGGGAATTCTTTAATTTACATAAAGATGGTTTGGCCCTTTTATATAGATCCCTTAACATGAAAAAATGGTGTAATATGTACCCTTTAATATAGGTTTTTACATACCAGTATGGTCATTTAAAAAAAAAAATAATAATAATAATAGTTGTCTTTTGAAGACATGATTTGTTTTTGCATTGAAGTTTTAAATCAATGGTTGCCACAGTGTACCCCTTAATTTCCTACTTGGCAGCTCTCCCTTTTATGAGGGGGGGGGGAATCAGGGGTGGGTCCAGGTGAGGGCGTAATGGGCGTACGCCCCCCCCCCCCCCCTTTCAAAACAAAACAAACAAAAAAATATATCGTAATATGCTAATATTGTATTGAATATGGCAATTTATCATATTCATTAATTAAACACATACTCTGATTAGTATCCATTGTTGGTGACCACTTTATCTAGTGAAATCGTCAAAGATGTCGACGTCAAAACAAAAGCGTCAAAAGACCTTAAAATCATCTCAAGATCCATCCAATCATTTTAATATACCATAGACAATTAATGGAGAGAATCAGCATAAAAAATGTCAAACCCTGACACTTTAACTATAAAATATACATGCTCCAAGTCAGGAACCGTTACATTAGTGCAAAGATTTGATTCTACGCCCCGTCTTTCAAATATCCTAGAAACGCCCCTGGGACTCCCGATTTAGGACCCCAAATTTCCTATTTTCTAAGAAATGATGATTTCACCTGAAAAAGAATAGCTCCAAAGATGTCATTTTAAAGTGTTAGATTTTCCTATCGTGTCCATAAACACATTTCATTTATTGCTTTTAATTCTGAGCATGTGTAAAGTTAAAAAAGTTGTAATGTAAAATAGTTCAACGTCAAAGAGAAGTGTTCTTTTAAGGACGATTTACAATGGATACTATTCGGTGCCATTTGTACTAATTTATTTAAATTCATTATTTACACCGACGGGGGAATCTAAACATGCACCTATAAATGATTTTTAACATCACTGGGGACTTCCGTGTTGTCAGTGTTCAGAGCTAAAGAATCAATTATTAACACCGCTATTGATGTCCTGCTTTTGGGCAACCTCATTTAAACGACCCAAATATTAAAACTTGTTACCTAATGCACCATGTCCAAAGTAGAGCATCAACCAGAAGCTGCTGATAAATGGCAGATGCAGGAAAATCAAGAATGCCATATCTGAGTTTTCTGCCCGACTCGA